TAACAGCCCTCTATAAGTTGGAGAGTGACTATGAGATCCTTGAAAGGTGATTATTCAAATAGTTGATATGTGTGTGTCTGTCTATACACCTTTTGTTTTAAAAAGAATCAAGGTTCATTACCTTAAAGCTGTATTATTCACATTGAGTTTTTGTACTGAGTATATTCAAGTCACATGTTCCTGTACTCATGACAGAGCAGCAAACCGAGGGCATGCTGAGTTGCGATGGCTACACTGTCATTCCTCTGAGTTTTCAGCCTAATTGTTGGTTTTCTTTTGTCTTTCTTCCAGATTTCCTGGTGTCTATCTCAAAGGCAAGAAATACAAGCCCTTGTTCAACTACTTTCTGAAGGTAAGCCCAGGTACCAGTATGCAGGAGCTCTCCACATGCATTTTTCTAATACCTGGAGAAAAGTTCTAAGTGGAATTTACATTGTCTTATTAAGTTGTTAATACGAGTAGCCCGAATCCAAAAGTCTGTTCATATTAACAAAATAAAATAGTGTTGAGAATCACAGAGTTGTTTTATATGATTTTCATTTTCTGGCACTGGAGAATACACAGCTCTAGTTGTGTAACCCGTCCCCCCGCCCCCGCCACCATAAAAACAAGGTAAAACAGAAATGCTTCATCCGTTCCTAATTAAAACTCTTGGAATAAGGTAATGAGCTCTCAGGCCTGGCTTTCTATGCCATTTGGAAATTATACTGAGTTGGACATATGATATCATTTATGTCAGGTGGAGGATATAGCTCAGTGGCATAGTGCCTGCCTGGCAAGCACGAGGTTGTGAGTTCAATTGCTGGCACCAAAAGCAGAAACCAAAAAAAATGTATGTCACCACCTAGGGCAGAACATCTATTGACCCCACAGTTGCTCCCACTGAGTGTGGGGAGAAGTTGGTTGATGCCGGTGACCTCCGATATTTGGGCCCTATCCAGTGTCTCTGTCATTAGTATTTACTTTTTTCACTCTGTTTTCCCACAGTTTCTGTCTCTCCCTTAAGGCTTTTGTCTTCTTTCTATGTTTTTGCCTAACATTTCTCTGTACTCTGTCTTCGTTCTGTCTCCCTGCAAGCTTTTGGTCTTCTGCCAGCATTTATGAGGAGCCTTTATCCTTTTTCCCAGCACACCTGATTCCTAACCACATCTCCAAACTGGCTCTGTCCTTTCCTGCTTCCCTGTAATTTTAAAGTTTTCCTCCCATTTTAAGTATCTTAATGGTCCAGGGATGTAGCTCAGTGGCATAAGTGCCTGCCTGGCAAGTGCAAGGTCCTGAGTTTGGTTCCTGGTACCCAATAAATAAGTAAATAAATAACCTTCACCTTTTGTTGTATCTTCTGGGTACAAACCATCTTTTGAGTCTGAACACTG